TGCAAGTGCGGCGCTGGGAAACTTCTGGGGGGATAAGTTGACAGGAAAGAGGCAAATCTCAATCCTTTCCTTTTCTTTATTTAAACAAAAAAAAAGATAGTGAGAATGAGCTGGACTTCTTACAATAAGGAATGAAATCTCCCACTCGCCTGCTACCGGGCGCAGACCATGACCGTAAGCAGGACCAGCGTCACAGCCAAGGAGCTTTTAAATTCCAGCTCTGTCCTCAAGAATGACTACAAAAATAACTACAAAAATAACTTTGCTGTGTCTGATTTTCTCCCTTACTGACTGTGCTGAATTGTAAATTGCTCTTTCTCTTCTAAACTACCAGCTCAGGCACGTGCCCTCTGCCACTACCACTTTCGGCCTCTCGTCTCCCATGCAGCCCCATCGCTTGCAGGCTGCTCTTCCAGGATCAGATCTCCACCTGTGCGAAGATTACCAGGTTGACACAATTTTGTCTGAGGGGAGAAAACGGGAAGACAGAAGGGTTGCAAAACGCCAGGACTGAATGCAACCGTCGTCGCCTGTCTGTGGGCGAGAGCTGAACTGGGGTGCCACAGGGATGGCCAGAGCCTGGAGCGAGCTGGGTGGTCCATGTGAAGAAAACCCATCTTTCCCTCCTGCTGTGGAGGCAGCTTGATACCGAGATGAGCGAGAGAGAACACGTGCGAGACATGTATGTCCTTTTTGGAATTGCTTTTCAGTGATTCAGTACGCAGAGCTGTCATCCATATTAACTAATGAATTGTGGTTGACTGAACAAGTATGTTCAGGGTGTTCTCACACAAAAAAAGCGACACAAAAAATCATGTGATTAAAGAAGATTACCTAAGATCACCTTAATCATTAGTTAAGTTTAAGTTACGATTAGCTAGAAATTAATGAAAACATTGTATTCGCCTCCCAATTCTTTATCCAACAGGCAAACTTAACCTTCCTCTTCATGGGAAGCAGCAAACACCACCTCCTGGCTTCGGCAAGGCCCTGATGCTGGCTCAGTGTGAAGTTACACGCTGTGCTTGAGTGTCACCCCCTCCCTGGTGGCACCTCCGCTGCCCCCTGGACTCTTTGCTGGGCCAAGTCAACCTTGCTGAACCCCCAGGCACCTCTTCACTTATTTTTCACTGATTCATTTTCTGCCTATTTAGCGAGGCAAACTGGTTTGGCCCAAGGCTCAGCAACCACAAGGTGAAGATCAGGGTATTTTCTTCACAGCATTAGCAAGCTGCTGGTATCAGCTCAAATAGTGACATGTTCAGACTTGCAGGATGTTCTTATAAGCAAACGAAGGAATGTGGTCTAGATAAAACTGCTTTGGGGCAGGTGCAGAATTGGTCAGGGGAAAAAAAATCACACCCTGGACAGTGGTTCCCCATCAAAACAGCAAAATGTATTCAGTGAACGGGTCTTGCTTCCGTACAGTTTAAATTTTTCATTGGTGAAGTCAGCGATGGGATAGAGAGTCTACTTAGTAAATGTGCAGATGATGCATAGCTGAGAGGAACTGAAAGTACATTAGAAAACAGGGTAAGAGTTCAAAATTATTTTAACAAATTGGAGAAATGGTTTGAGAAAAATAGGCTGCAATGCAGTGAGGCTGTGGGCAAGTTGCTACGTGTAAGCAAAAAAAATATCAATAGAGCAAAGGCAAAATGGACCAAAACATGAATCAGCAAAGCTACGCCATTGGAAGGATGGGAAATATCATACTAGAATCCATAACTAGATTTCCTGATGGAAGATACATGATGTCATCCATCCGTTCCACTCAGCACTGCAAACACCAGTGAACAAACTGTGATCGCTTTCAGGTCCCAACTCCCAAGTGACAGAGAAAAAAAACCCAAGCAAACAGCCTTGGACATCTCTAAAAATAACCTCCAAGCAGAGCTTCAGATAATTGATCAGCCTGAGGAATAAACAACCAGGACGTAGCAAACACCCAAAATACTGCTGCAGAGAAAAAGGGAATAATCTGTCCTCCCTGTCCATAGCAAACAGCCGCAAGGTAAAATTGCAGCAGGAGGGAGCTGAGTGGATGGTAGGAGAAACTTGCTAAGGGTGAAACGCCGCAGCAGATCACTGGGGAGGCTGTGAAGTCTCAGGGTAGGAGGTTAGGCCGGTGTCTGTCTGGATCAGCAAAGGTAGAGACCCTCCTCCCATCCCAGGCCCCACTGACTCGAGGCCCCTCATGGTCCCTCCTGGCTCCAGGGGTCTGTGTCTCAGAAGCAAACAAAGCTCCTCCTTCCCTGCCCCACCTCGTCTTTCCTGAAGTCTCCCTATTTCAGTGGCAAGATGTAGGTCGTAGCTCATATGGCAGATGGGTGCATCAAAAAATCCAGACTCAAATTACGCCTACGTTTCTAATTCCAGAAAGGTTAAAGAAAGCTTTACCTTCTGTCTACAGCAAGTAAGACGTACTGGAGCGCATGTCCAATAAACCATCAGACGAAGGTTTACGCTTAAAGATCCAACCCTGGACTCTCTCCTGTGCCAGATCTTCTTTTTTGTTTCCTCACCCTTTGACTTTCTTTAAACTTCACCACTGGCAGGAGACGCTCCTGCACTCAGATCTAGGAGTAACTCGAGAAGAAGGCAACCTGAGGACTAGCAGACACTGCAGTCTAATTTACCAAAGCACAGCAGCTCTCAGATGGTGGCTCGGGTGTGCAGGGGCAGAAGTTTCCAAGTGATTAGCTTTTCCCCTCCCCTTTCTAGCTCTTATTCTCCTTAGATCCCCATCTTCAGTGTGACACCACTCCATTTTATTGCGTATATAGTCAACTGTAACATTGCTAGTGAATCGGCTCAAACAGCACTTTTTTTCAAAAGCACTCGCAAGGCTGACACTGGTGGGACTGCTCCCCTTGCCCCAGGGGTGAGGGGCACGGAACCGTCACAAAGCCAGGCTTAGGGAGGCAGAGGGACTCGCCCACAGCAGCTTAGCAAGGGAAAGGGAGCTCAGGCAGACGGCCCCCACACCAGTCCCTGCAAGCTTTGCCTTTCCCGATCTTCGTTCCGTGATTTATCTAAGTCTGTAACCACACTGCGTGAACCAGGAAAGGTAAGCTCACATTGCAGCCTCAGTCTGCACCCAATCTGTAAGCAGAAATACCACTTAGTTAAATAAACTTTATTAAACTTATTATCTTCGGTTTTCAAAAGCAGAATGGATTTCATCCTGGAGAAAGATTCCTTTTTCAGTGTTTTACGTTTGATAAGCTTCAAAAACAAGATTGGGATATTTTTTAATGGATGATTATTATTTAGCATGAGCAGGTAGATTACAGATGGTCCTGCAATTTTAATTGTATGGCTGTAGCATTTGGATATACTGCTTTCCCTTGTCTCTCAGACTCCCTGCAGGCCCCTACATGAACTATTTAACCTCCATCTTAGGCTCTCATTCCTACTAGGCTTTACGACCCTTCTGTTAAGACCAAAGCCACTTTAGTTCACAGCATGATGAGGTTTTTTTAATACATCAGGTCTCAAAAGCTTCCGAGACTTGTAGCTGAAGTTTTATGTGCAAAGTTACAAGAGAAAGCTATAACCTAGACATTCAAATGGCAAATTTTAAAAATATTCCTGGACATATCCAGGATGGAAGATAAATTCTGACATGAGGGCCTTTGAAGCGTACACCAGGAGACAGGTAAGCAACCCGAGGTTTGGAATATAGCTTGTCGCTTCTGTGGTAGGACACAGTCGCTACTGGCACCATCTCAGGTAGCTGGGTTGGCAACCTGAATACATGATTCCTGCCGGAGGAAGGAAGATGCAACATCCCCCATTTCCCAAAGATGAGGGATGAGGAACGCTGCCTGCTGAAGCCAGGCTAAGGGTAAAACTGGAGAAGAATCACCCGCGGGGAGGAGCCGGGGAGAGGAATCTCTGTTGGTGCTGCTGACTATGATGAGGACAACAGTTGTGCAGAACTGGCTGACAGGGATATGGAAATGTTGGTAAATATAACAGTGATTCTCAACAGCTCATATTGTGTGTGAGTGTTGGAGTTGTCACTTTTGTATGTTGTATAGCTACATTTTCCAAGATTGACTGAAATTATCTAAAGCATGAAAATACATTCTTTTGTAGACTGAATTGGATAAGGAGTTTTTACATCGTGCTCTACAACTAAGTGGAAGATGCAATGGTCTTAGTTTTAGGCAAGGGTGTATGTTTAAAAAAAAAAAAAAAAAAAAAAAAAATCGACCTGTGGATGTATTCAAGGAATTCTGAAGACAGCTGTGTCATGATACTATTCAAAACAATAGTCTGACTAAGGTCTCTGGTGAGAACCGATTTTAACATCAAACTCCTGGAGCTGCAATATTAATTCACGCTCCAGTGAAGTAGTTGCCATGGAGTGGCCAAAACATAATTCACCGACTCTGATGGGCAACAAAATACAGAAAACATTTACTTTGTTTTCCAAATACTGGTGAGTCAGTGTTTTATACACGGCAGCCAAATTTCATTCCTCGGGAGGTAGAATAAATTATTACTTAATTGTGACAAACGAGCAGACCGTCAGACCCACTGATATAATGAATCACTCTGCAAAGAAATTCCGCTTTGAGTCACAGAACAGCACACTGTTGTCCTGAATTATAAAATACTGTTTAAATAAGTTAACAGGTTCCTGCGTTTGTTTCTACTTTAAGACCTGCCATTAATATTGTGCAACTCATGCTAGAAACTCCCATATCTCTGCCAAATTTAATGTTTTGCAGAACCTTTACTTTTACATGCATACACTGGTTCTTTTCTTCCTGGGGGATTCCTCATAGGTATGCTATTCCATAGCGGATTTCGCTGCCAAAATGGAGATTAATACATTCAAGCCACGTAAGCAAGTTCTTTTAGGTCCATCAGCAGCTCCTTAACAAAAAAAAAAAAAAAAAAACCAAAACAAAAAAAAAACCAAAAAACACAAACACAAAAAACCCAAAACCCAAGACATTTTACATCATTGTTTGTAGGAATCTGGCATGTTGTACTCCGCAAAGAAACGAAAGGAGTTTATAGATCCTGCACCCACCTTGCCACGAGGGTAAGCCTCCTGAACCACAGAGCACACATGAAGCACACAGGCCAGGCTATCAGTTAGTTGTATAAAAAAATCTGCTCAAGCCTCCTAGCATTTCAGAAAGGTACTTTGGGGGAGGAAAGAAGGATAAAAAAAAAAAGTCTGCCCAGCTTTTATTTCTTAAATTAAAAAAAAAAAGTGCATTCATCTGCACAAACTCACATTTTTTCCAAAAGATGCAAGATTTTGCCTTTTTATCAATGTCATTCCCTTATTCACTTGTAAGCTCTGTACTGGGACAAAAATATTTCTTTTCCATAACTGCCATATAAAAAAAAAAAAAATTGCTTTTCCACAGCTTGGGCAGGATCCCTGTTCTCTAGTCTCTCCTGCTTGTACCTTCACTATCTTCTACTTGTTTGCTTCAGCAGCTCAGTTGTTCGTCCTGGAAAGGATGTCTGTGGTTTCTATCCCGGGCAACTAGGGCAGGCCCACAAGGCACATGCGTCTGGAAGAGCTCCAAGGTAAGCGGGTGCGTCAAAGTAAACCCATAAGACCTGTGGAATAAGCCTTTCCTTTTTATGCCTATTGTGAGCAACGTTGCAACAACTTCTAATCATTTTTTAGGACTTTGGCCTAGAAGAGGAACAACAAGGGAATCCGGGCAGAGTAAACCAAAACTACATCCAAAAGTTTTTGGCCATACCAGGAGTGCTGCATGACCTGAATTTATTAGGAGAATCTAGAATGGAAATTGTTGTAAAAACACGCTGGGTTCCCCCCCCCCCCCCCCCCCGAAAATCTGTTGTATTGCACATCAGCTTCAAAATATGTTTAATTTAAAAAAAAAAAAAATTAAAACGTCATAGGCTACTTCTGTTAGGAAGTCAAGGCTTTAAAAATTCTAGTAATACTAAACTAATGCCGTTAGTTCCTTGACTGCAAGAGGCACAGCCCTTATCATGCTAATTACAAGTCAGATGGAGCCAATCGAACAATACTGAATTATTAAGGTCTTACTGTACATTCTCAGGCTGTTAATATCTATTAGATTACAGCTGCATTATACTGAGTGCTCATTTCGGCAGGAGATTAGAAAGTACATTTATAATGCTGGCTAGCCTTTGGGTTGATCATGGTATTTACATACCATGTGTCAGCATGAGATTACAGAATGATTTATGCTTTTTTGCCTAGACCCTTCAGTAAACTGCAACCGGCTCCAGTAAACTACAAAGCTGAAACTCCATTCCAACCCGACCCTGACAATCCAGCTCTCAGGAAGTACGTGCATTTTCAAAAAATAATGAAAGACACCACCAGCGACTGGTACAATCACACTTCATACAAAGCAGCGTTTGACTTGCCATATCTCAACGCAAGTAAGTAATCCATGCTGTTTCTCCTGTTGAGAAGGCCATAGAGATGAACTAAGGAGGTTTGTTCTGCTGTAAGCAAACTAGTCCTAAATTGCACGGAGACAAAAGTGAATAGCCATCTCACTTTACCCAAAGAAGAGCTGCCACCTGTCCCCCAAAGCCATACTCTCTCTCCACTACCAACACTCAGGTATCCCAGTTCCCTCTGTAATATGCAGAAGGCAACCAATGAACAAGAAGGTGGCAAACGATTTGTACTTGTGCAGATTGTTATCCAGAAATAGTTACTCAAACACACTGTTGATAATGCCAGTAGTGTGTATCAAAAGAGCTAAATACCTGGATGTATGCACAAATTGATTTCACCACTGAAAAAAACTAACATAGTCTAAGAAAATACATTGCTTCGAGACACTTGATTTAATAGTTGTAAAGTGGCAGTGAAGAACATTAGGATTTAACCCAACCTTATCTGTTTGAAGTTGAATGGAAGATATTTGAATGCATATTTATTGCAAGCTATTTTAAAGATGACACGTCAAATGAGTTATAACACTCAGACCAACAACAAACGGTGTAAAATTTTAAGTCTCTGCAAATAATGCATCTTCCGTGTGTACGTATGTATGCACAGCAGTCTGCCTTAAGTAGGTAAAGCTGTCATGCACCAAGCGTGCTTGATTACTATACCAATAGGTTATATTAAGTTTCACTGTTTCAGACACTAGGAATGGTATCGGCAGGAGAAAAATCACCAGACTGAGTCGTCCCTTATCTTCATTCCCAGCTACTTCGCCTTTTACTTTTTCTAAACCAGCCAAACCTTTGATTATGTTTCATTAAGGGAGCTGGCCGTGACAGCAAAAGGAAACTATAATCTTCTATTAGAAAGCAGATTTCCAGGATGATGATAGACGAAAGCAGCTGTCATGCATTACATCAACATTATCTGCCTGCCACTTTATCTGAAGGTTTTGTCCATTAGCTACATGCCAAAACCCAATTACACATGGAATACAAATGGAAAAGCTAAGCAGCCCAAGTATCCCTCGCTTCCCCTCCTATCAGTTAGTAAAGGAGCTCACTAAGCCATAGGGACATAAGGGCTATTAAATGCTGCAGCACAGCACAAGCCTAGGAGAATCAACCTCGTAAATATTTCAATGGCAGCAAGAATGGCATGAGATCAAAATACCTTGTCTGCCACCGGCCTTGTCAGGTCTAACAGGCATCCGTGCCTCCTGAAAACATCCCATTAGCAGGAGGGAACACTTGGAGGAGAATCAATTTCAACTACTATCCTATGCTGCCATCCTCTCCCCTAACATGCTAGCAACAGAAGAGACTTCACAGAGGAAAGGAGTATACAGGAAGGGCCTGAGAAATACATGCTTCTCATTGAAGTACAAAGGGTTTTCCTTTTATTACAGCTTACTACTAGCCTGTGTCTGACAACCAAAAGCCTTTTGCCAATGAATGTGGCAATTCCTTTGAGGCCAAAGGGCTCTTGACTAACGAAGGGAGGAAAAAAAAAGCAGAACAGTGAATTTTGGCTAGAGAAAAAACTACAAGTGCCATCAGAGATATGTAACTTTGCCCCTGCTCAGCACACTGCTGGTGGTAGAAAATCAGGCTGTTCTTTGCTTCTTCCTCCTTGCTAGTTGACCATCGCATGGGTTCAAGAGCAGAGCATACACCGCTTGAAACGATCTCCTTAACTTCTCACATTTGTCTCCACAACATTCAGATTGGTGATAATACATCCCAGCCTACTTCCCCATACATACAAATGAGTAGCATTGTGGGAGGGGAGAATTTGGTAGAATATAACCATTCTATAACCCTTCTTTGCGATTAGAAAAGTGTTTGTGCACCAGTCCAAGAATTCACTCTAGCAAAGCTTACATGAAACTGGCATTCAGGGACCATATAATAAGCTTTACAGATGCCAAGTTTAACCACCTGAAACTTAAAGAGAAAAAGTCTTCATTCCAGGTCATGAGAGTAAATATACACCAACAGATCCTGGATCACATGTTATCTGGACAAGTACTGGTAGGAGGATGTTTTCAATTTTGCAGGCCTGCACTTGAATGGAAGAATCAAAGAAAAATCTCAGCTGAACTTAAAAGAAAGCAAAAGAACATAAATCACTCTTGCATCCAAGACAATTCTGGTTTGTTTCTTTAACTGCACAAGTACTTTGTATCGTTTTAGGCTATAGCTATATTGCTTAGAAATCCTGCTGCATCTGGGAATATGAATTCCTCAACTGAGAACCAAGGGTACTTTGTACAGTGGAGTTACAACAGCAGAATTGAAACAGGCCTTGAACATGAAGCTCTCTCCTTGGCAGAAGTGAAACACAACTACATAGAGTAAGCCCTCATTTATTCACTCATTGTAGAAGGAAAACATGCCCTCATTAATTTATTTACTCACTCCTTGAACCAGCCAGGCCCCCAGTCCTTGAGCTGGTAGTTTCACTGACAGCACAAATCCCCGTGCTGCCTTCTACACCTACAGGAAGACAAAAATACTTCGTAATTATTACCTATTGTTCACATCACAAGGTCAATTCCCTCCATCGCCTAGAAAATAGTAATATTATTTTTTCCTTCTAAATGAACATTGGGATTTATGTTTCACACAGTTATGTCCCTCCTTCTCTTCATCAGGGAATTAGGAAGAGATTTTTAATTCAAGATGTCCCTTAGCTAGGGAGGGATGGTATGGTTCTCTCCTGGACTACGAGGCTGACAGCCGAACTAGACTCTCATCCCCTGCAGAAAAAAATGAGTATGAAGTTGGTTGTTTTTTAATGCTGAGGAGAATGATCTTTACATGCGATGCTGATACAAAGGTCTCTTGATGTATTTGCCAATTTTCCAGCATTCTACGGTATCCTCCTCTTTCCACATATTACACAAGTAAAATACACACCCTGCTAACTGCTCTGTCGCATGCAAACAATTCAACAGTAAATGCTCCTTATATATCAGTAGTTTTATCCTTCAACCCTCCTGTTCCTTCTCTCATGATAAGCAATTTTACTTTATGCCAATTGAGAACATAAACATTGTGCTGAACACCTCGACAGCAGCATCCATCCAATAAATCTATTCCATTTCAGGCAACACCTGGTTACCTAAGACATAATCTCAAAGGCCTCATATCTTTTATTTTACGTTAGAAGTTTCTTATATTCCCCTGCATAGCCGAAATCTACTAAACAATCTAAAACTACTGCCTCATCCCGATACAAACTTGTTTTTAGGAAACAAAGTAAGTTTTATTTGAAGTGAAAAGGAAGCACACAAATACCATAGTATAGTGCCTAAAAACGAAGTCATTCTGAAAAAATCTGGAAAGGGAATATGTAATTATTGGGTTGTTGTCAAAAGAAATCAGATTCTTTGGAATATAGAATAATGGTTATAAATTAAAATAATTCTAGAACATTTCCCAACACTAATAAGCCAAAATATGTCAGATGTCATGAGGTGAGTACTTGTTATCTTCCCTACATCTGAAGCAAACGCATTGAATACTTTAAATGTTATTTCTAAAGCATCTTCAATTTATAATTACAAAAGTGTCTGTGCTTTGCCAGTTCTCCAGAGAAAGATCTTCTATTGGCTCTGTAGAAAGGAATTTAAAAGGGCATCAAAATGTTAGACTTCTCACCAAATATAAATATAACCTCATTTAATTAGGGAAACAGTTTGAGACATGTGCCTTGGAACTAGAGAAGTGCAGGGTTTTTAAAATACCAGAAAAAAAATGAATAACATTATAAAACATTTAACTCAAAATCAGAACGGTTCTTTAATAATCGCAAATGAACTTTTTACAATATCAGTTTTCTAACTTTCTGGGCACACCTCCTGGTAAACACTTGAGTGTCCTCTGTGAGTTACAAAGAGTAAGTTTTCTGTGTTACACAGCTAAAAAAACCTGGACATTCTTAACAACTTGGCATCACATCTTTTTTTTAAAAAACAGATCACACAATAATTTAGACAGCATTTATAGCATTATAAAATCAGAATCCCCCCCTTTAATCACTCACAAGAGCAGCCATTAAGAATACAACAGCTTTAGGAATACAAATAATGAGGATGTAAAACTATCTGTGCAAAACTGCATTATTTTTACTGTCTAAAATTTCAGGGAAGTAACACCGCCAAAAGCAGAGAGAGGATAACAAACAGTCATGAAAGTAATGCTACCTTAGATTTTCAAAGAGGACTTACATTATGAAGTAAATATTAGGTAAAGAAAAAAAAAAATCTGATGGCACCTTGAACAACAATGACAAGTGTCCTGGAAATTGCAGTTGAACAAGAACTGATACAGGTTCATGTTAAAGTCTCTTTCAGGAGTAGCAATTGATTTGGGGGTATCAACTCTAGCATTTCTTTCCATGCAAAAATCTATCTTTCCAACATCTTTGCTTTGCGGGCTACTAATGCATTTAAGAATGAGCAGTCTTTTGAGGAGTGTGCTTTCTTCCATGCATCTGAAATCTTTAAAACAGCTGGATCATTGATTCCCTGGATTTCCCTACTCCAATCCATTTAACTGCAGGAGAGAAAAGCAAACTTTTATTATAAGTAATACAAAGCAAGATCGGATTGTATCTTAGGATAAGATACAGACTTATCTTCTTAAGCACTTAAGATCTTAAGTACCATAGTCTGAAGAAAAACACAGCATATACTATTAGTATGTTAAGAAATGATAACTATGTCTATTCTCAAAGTAAGAATGCATTGGTAACTTAGAAAAGCAGGAAGGGTCTTGAAGCTGCCATAATAAATAAATCAGTTTTCCAGATCATAGGAAAAAAGATACATAGAAACTGTCAGAAAAGTAAAGATTAAGATTTGCATCATCTCCTAATTCCCAGCTTTGGATGGAACCACAGGATCATCTTTATTAGGGAGCATAAGAGAAATTTGTTAGTTTAGGACCTCTTACTGTCACATGTATTTATTTACATTAATATACCAGTAGTCCCACTGACTTTATAATGGCAGCAGAACTAAACCCCTATCTAACCCATCTGAAAAACACTTAAGCAAGTTGTAAAAATCTCAGTTGAACAAGAACTATAGTATAAGCCAAAGAAAGAATGCATATTAAAACTTTTGAAAATTTTCAATTCAACAGCTAAATAGATAAAAAGAAGTAAAACAATAACTACAAGTATCACCAGGTACATCAGAATAAGCACAGCTACAAACTAGTTTTCAATATTTTGAATGTTCAGTAAGGCAAAGTACAAGACAGGTTTCATGGAACAAGAAACGAACATAACAACAACAAAATCTGGTTTACTTACCAGGAACACCCAACTCCATTTCTATAAAGCGAACATAATTTTGTGCATTTACAGGCAGCTCATCAAATGTCCTTGCATTTGATATGTCCATATCCCATCCTGGGAGTGTCTCATACTGAACCTCTACTTTATTTAAGACTTCCTGGTTGGCTGAGAAGCAAACAGGAACAAGAATATTATGTCTACAAAGATTATACATTCTCTACCACTAAACACATAACTGTAAAGCTTTTTATTCTTTTCTTATACAAAGAGGTTTACTCATAAGATAATACCAGCACTGAAGGTGCTGAAGTGTCCTTTTTTGTTAATATAAGCAGAGAGAAAAAAAAAATCCAGTAACTATGAGGACTTAGACTTTTGGAATTCCAGTACTCTCAGTCACATGCATATATTTTGCTTAAACCACAATCTTTTCAGTTCAGAAAACAACTTTTCAGGAAAACTAATTCCCCAAAATGTTGATTTTTTTTTTTCTGAACAAATACCAAGATCCAAGTCCCCCTTCATGAGAGAATTTGGTGATGTGAAAGCAAAATTAGGCACCAGCTTGTAAGCATCAGGCAGTTAAAACATATTTTAAAATGGCATAGGAGCGTACTTTTTACTAAACATAGTCCTAAGATGCAGTTTATACATAATGGACTTCTGATGCCCACAGACCCTTGCCCCAAAACTCTACAACGAATTTGTCAACCAGTGTGGAGTCCCACACCATGTATGAACAGTAACTGTTCCAATTACTTCTCAGAATAGAAGCAATGAGTATATTACATTTTGTCCTTCATTTAGTAACTTGCTACAATGTTGTCTGTTAACTCTGAATCCTGTGATGATTTCAAGTACTGCTAAGATGCTAAGCACATTGTTCTGGAACTGAATCATTCCAGAAACTACACGAACGTTCGTCTTGGAATGACACTGGCCAGCAAAACAAAAGCCTTCAGCCTGAAAATGGCCAAAACAGATTGATTAAAAAAACGGGAGGTGTCAGGCATTCTTGCCTTCCTGAACAATACAGGGTTCTGCCAAAGGCACTGTAATTAATGTTATGTAGGCTCCATGTCTCAGACCAAGTCACTCCTGCAAAGACAGCTAGTGAACCTAGGAAAGGGTTTTAGGTGCAGGAGGCACAGCAGGCATGTAGCCAACAAACTCAGGCTCAGCACATTGAAAAATTTGTCCTGGTACAGGTAAGAGTTCAATATTAGCAATGTTGTAAGGACAGCCTTTATGAACTAGGCATTTTGAGTAAGGGTGACAGAGGACTATGCTATAGTGACTTCAAAGACTACAACAGTGAAGAAATGCACAATTTTTGGACTGAGGTGTTCACAGGTTAAGGCAAACGATCCTGAATCAATACTTGTAACCAGGACAGACAGACAGGCACATTAAGGACGTTGGGTTGCAGAGGCCAAGGATAAGCACTTTCTTTAATGTCATCAGCAGTAACAACTGATGACATTAAAGCAACAGTTGTCTGCTGTCCAGGTGATCTGTAAAACAGAATAGCTATATTCAAAGTGCAAAACCACAAACTAATCTCTGAGCACTGCAGATGGTCTAGAATAAGACGCTAGCCTCCCTCTTTCTGAAGAGGGAAAGTGACTGAACACCTAATCTTGGATGTCCACAGGCTTTTTTACTTTGAAGCCTCTCTGATGAGGCTAGCTGGGAGAAAGCCTGAAAGCACTTAGAATTCAATCGTCTAATCTTGTCTACAATCTTCCATTACTCTGTATTAGTTCAATTCCTTACTTCCCTAAAAGAGAGGAAGAAAAAGAAGGGATAAATTTCTTGATGTTTCAAATGATTCTCTCATTTTGCTCCAGCAGGCGTGACAAAAGATAAAGATGTCTGGTAAAAGATGTGTGGTAAAGAGAAGCCATAAACTGAGCTCAGTGTAGTAACAGATGTAGCCACCATCTAGAGTTCTCTTAGCTCTTCCCTTAGGGGATTTATCTTTTAGACTTTCTGGAATATTCCTTATTAACAGCTGAATTAGATAACAGAGAGAGCAGATATAATGATA